ATATATATATATATATATATATATATATATATATATATATATATATATATATATATATATATATATATATATATATACGTCCAATATTTTCATATGAGCTGTCTTATCCAAGCCATGGATACGCGGAAAAAACTATTACAAAAAAAAAAGTGTAACTGGGAAAAGTGCAACATCTGCCATTTTTTCTCTCCACACGTGAAACATCACAACCCTCCAGTGTCACCTTTACGATTAAAACTGATTGCGTCCTTTGTCAAAATGATGTTCACTACAGAGGACATAAACAAACAAGAATCTCAGGTTTGCTTTGGTTAATTGCAGTACTGGTTCTTCACCAGCAGATGTCAGCATTGTCCAGGTAAACTTTACACTGAATCACAAACAACAGAAAAAGTTTTATAAGAGTGGTTTATTTCATAACAAGCAAACCATAATTGTCTGAACTTCTACTAGGCATATCTGGTGAACCAAGGACACTTCTTAAATTCCCCAAAACCAAAAATATATATATATTAACATGGAGGAAAAAAAATAGACATCAAGTAAGCTGTATTGATATTTGGAGATTATTCTAATAGTGTTGATACAATGATTAGTTGATAGTGATTATGTTCTGCTGATGAAGAAACATGCCATTCCTGTTATTATTTATTATGACAGCAATAGACAGCTGTCCATGAGCTTCTACTGTATGCTAAGCAGGGATATACTGTCAACAGATGAACTTTATTCTGATTGGTGGCTGATAGCCGATGTGCATATTTGCACAGAGTCTTCTAAACTAAACATTGATGATTTGACAGGATGTTAGTAAGAGTTGGAAGAAGTATTATTGGACTGTTGATGCCTTGTAGACAAATGACCTACATGTACAAGTAGGGGAAAGCATCGTCAGCGCAGGATTCTCCAGGTGTCAAAGGTAAAAGTCCACAGCTTGCAGCAAAACAAGTTGTTTATATCCTATACAGTTCCTGACATGTTAGATAACATCATTATTATTGACTTTAAAACCCGTCTTACATAAGAAAATGAGGACGCTTTTTTAATTTATAGGTAGCCAATATGGTTTTAGAAACAACAATCTATCTTATTTAACGGGAGGATTAACAGATCTGAAGAAATATTTTTGACTTGTTTGATTATTTGCTAAAAAAAAAAAAAAAAGGTGGCATTTAACTGGGTCAAAAGCTAGTCGTCAGTGGAGTGCCACAAGAGTCTATTCTGAGGCCGAAATGTTTTGTTCTATTTTTCGATTAATTTCAGGTCATTTATGTAGCACTAATTTACAACACGACATCTAAAGGGTCTTTATAGAGCCGATTCAATTAGATCATACAGTTTGTGAGGGACTGAGCCGACCAAGCACGAGGACACAGTGGTGATTATCAAGAAAATCGGTTTTAATCCCCAAAGTAACAAGAATCCAAACAATAATGACAGGGCCCTTAAAGAGGTCAAATTAAGAGACTAACTTAAGGCAAAAACACATTTAGGAAGAGTTGGGGAGAATGTCTACACAAATTTAACAAAAATAACTAAACAGTAGGGGTGTCAACAATAATCGATTCAGCGATGCATTGCAATGCGGGGCATGCA